CCCCCCCCCCCCCCCCCGCCCCGGTTCAAGTTCTGGACCGCCACTGTAGTTTCACCTTGCCCAATGAGCAAGCTTGTAGAACACAGCAATACTGGATCAAACTATATAAGCGTTTTTTTTTTTATTCTTGAAAATAATGTAGACTTTTCTTTTGTGTCTTTTAAGGATAACGACATCATGGAAGCAAATGTAAGCTTAGGGGAATTACAGCAAAAGATAAAACGACTTGAAGGCCTGTGTCAGGTAAGTGCCAGTAATTTGTACAATGAAGTAAACAAACCTACATTCTCAAGTAACAAAACTGTACATTGATTGTGTTCATTTTATGAAAGTTCTCTGCAAGATTGATGTCTAAAATTTCATATGCCATTATTGCATGACTATGGCATTTCAATTGGTCATGGACTGACCTGCAGCTGATTGCCTGCATTCTGGCGTGTGCCTGAACTCTCCCTTTGTCCACTTGGATTCAGATCCTGCATGTAGATACATGTAGGGTAGGAAAGGGGAAAGAAGATCATTCTACATGCTTAGTTCACGTTCCACACTCGCCTGCGTGTGTCATGCTCACGTAGGCCACAGGTTCAAATCTCGTTGAAGCTCTGAACTATTTTTCCGGGCTTTATTTGCAATTGCTTAAATTGCAGTTACAACTGTGCTGGTCGCATCTTCATTTTATTCATGCTCGTTTATGGCACTTTGTGCAATGTCCCACTACCCTGCCTGTTCTAGAAACTAGTTTGTTAGAGTTCATAAACCATTACCACCAAGTCAACAACAACAACAAGTCACTTCAACTGCATGACCAAACATTTTTACAGATTGCAAATAAGGATACAAATTTTCAGTACAAGAAACTACATGGTGTTGAGTAAGTAACATGGTAAATGGTAACCGGTGACAGAGAAATACGGTCTATTGCCAATTCTTTTTCTGCAGGAATTAAGAAAAACTGAAAGCTCATTGAGGACAGAAAGAGACCAGTGGAGAGACCAGGCGACAGCGAATAAACATGAAGTAGAAAAACTTAGAGGTACTTTTAACTGGACAGCTTTTTTTTTGGCAGTTTGAAAATTTGGATTTTTTTTTTAAAAAATGTGCATACACGTTGTACTTGACAGTTTTGTTGTTTCTTTGTGTTTTCGTTCAGGTGATATTAGTAAACAGTTTAGTGATGCAGACGAGGTTCAAGCGGAATTAGCAAAGGTAAGATTCTCATAACTAACCGTCAGAACTGAACGAAATAATTCTTTCAATTCAGGGGCCCGTTTCTCGAAAGCCCCGGAAACTTTTCGGGCCCGTAAAGCCATAGCAAAATCTAGAACCTTACGATTACAGAGCTGTTTTATTCACATATTCTTAATATGATTTTGCCATGGCTTTCTGGGCCCGAAAGGTTTCTGGGGCTTTCGAGAAACGGGCCCCAGGGCCAGGTTTTTCAAGTTAACAAGGATAAGCGAGAGTTTTGATGTCACTATTTTTGTGACTTTTCGGTGAGATTTTTTGTTTATATTGTTTGTCCTTCAGTTTTGAGTTTTAAATAATCTCAAAGTACGCAAAATATATGCAGTGGAAAAATTTATACAACAAAAAACAATACTTGGTAAATGTTAATCCTGGGTTAGCGTTAACCGGCTTTCAAACAACTCGACCTAGGCTGTTTGGCACACACACAAGGCGGATTGTAGGGGATTATTAAACAAAGCACTTGAAGATAAGAAGGAGGCCGGAGCTGACTGATTTAGTTTACTGAACGAATGAAAGTTTACCATCACATCATTTTCTTATTTTAATGATTGTATCAGACACCTTGAGTAAAAACGTACTCTGGTTAAGAGTTTTAAAACGTAAGCTTTCGGATTCTAGTCTAAAGCCTTCAAAATCTAAAATGTCAAAGTATCAAACGTGAATGTAATGTTTGGTTTTCCTTACCTCATTTCAGACAAAGCAGGAGATTTTAGTCTTGCAAAAAGAGCTCTTCTTATCAGGTAAGAAGAGAAATTCCTATCTTAAAAGTCATAAGATCTTTTCAGTTATGTTATAATGGGTTAAATCGGGAACACAATGCCAAAAGTTGATTTATTGCAGTTTTTTTTATAATAGCATTACATATTTTTTCTTCTTGAGGTGAGAGAGAAAAGAGGAAAGATCAGCTACTTGATTTACAAAAGTCAAAACAAGAAAGAACAGATTCAGAGCTTCAAAACCTTCGACAGGTATGTACATACATGCACAGTGATCTTTCCCAAAGTATTATAGTCTCGACATTCTTCCTTCTTTATAAGAAAAGGTTGTTATAAAATGAAGTGTAATGAAGATAGTGCTCATAATATTCGCGCGCAAAAAGTGGAAAGGCAAGGACGTTGCCAGGTCGTCCGGGGGAACTCGGATGAGGGTGCTTCTCGGAAATTTTTTAAGGTACCAACATCCTGTTTTGTACGTATGGCTTGAAATGTTTTTCGCTCCTTAAGCCCCGGCCAAACGATCGCAACATACTGCAACATTGTTGGGCGCAATATGTTGCGTTGACATGTTGTGATCGTTTGGCCGGGGCTTAAAGAGGTATCAATTATAAAACAACAAATTATCTCGTGTCATATTTTTTTCGGCTCGATACCCTAAAAAGTTCCGCAAAAGCTCCTGCTGTGGACGTTTTGAGGCTGAAAACCCCACGAGGTACCAAAACCGCGCTTTTAACCCCTAAAAGGTACGGCGAGCTCCCATGTCCTTTTCATATGGGAGTCAACCCCTCGGGGGGAATGATCGTCCTGACATTTTCTTTTTTCCTCTTCCCTTCCAGTGTGATAGGCCTGGACCAAGCTAATATAATAAAACACCATTTGTAGCAACGCATTGTCTTAATGTTGAATTTCTCTTGGCAGATCTGTGAACGACAACAACGCGACATTTCCTACATGCAGCTCCAGTTACAAAGTTCTCATGATATGTTATCCAAACATGTCACGGAGCCTGAGTAAGTTGTAGTTTTCCATCGAATTGTTTTGTTAGTGAAAAGTTTTTTTTTTGTTTTAATTTCTGTTCAGTGTGGCCGTCTGTATTTCTTCAAGTTCCTTGTAATGAAACTGGGTCCGTGTGAAGACGTCAATCACGATTAGCATTGATAATGTAACAGAGATGCAAACTTTCAAGTACGATCCAAGTTTTGCGATAAAGTGGAAATGGCTAATTTACGTTCAGGAAATAGCAGTAAGCTCTGAAAAGGACAAAAAAAAAAAAAGACAAACGAGTAAGATTTTGCTCCTGGACATTTTCAGCCACTGTGACTTTAGTTTTCAGGTGGAGACAAACAAAGCTATAAAAAGTTTGTTTGTAAATTTCAATTGTTAAGTTCTCCTGTCTCTGGTGCAAGAACTGAACATGGTAAGCTAAGGAAAGCACAAGCTGGTAACAATATTTCATTTATTTGCTAAATTCAATTTACTTTTTTTGTGCAGTAAAATCTCAGAGGTGGAGTCTAATCCTCCAGATGAGGAGAAGAAAGCTATCAACAGCTTTTACGATGCGACAAGTTACAATCTCAACGGCGATTACTTCGACAGCCAGGTGAGTATCCAAAATCTCTTCTCCACAGAGGCGTCTGTTTTTGGCTCGTACAAGCGAGTGTCGAGAGACAGAAAAGGGAAATACAATGCGCGCGGTGATTCTCTCGGGAACCTCTGCGGAGAGATTAAACAATTTTTTTAATAATCAGTTTCTCTTTCTCCTTATAATAAAGTTGAATCACTGTTTAAATCCTCTTTGACTTGGCTTTCCTTGGCAACAAAAGAAAGTGACCACGTTTTGATGTGGTAACAAGGCGGGCTTTTTCAAGCACACAGCCGACTTTGGCGCGAAATTTCAAACGCGATAAACAACTGATCAGAAATCCCAGATTTTTGTAGAGCTACGTCATAAGCGCGGGAAAGACCCACCTGTGTACTTGGGCTACCCCAGTAAGTGTGCAAATCTTGACTTGTAGAAATCTTTATACTTTCCTAGGACGAAGCATCAACCAGATCAATGGATTATGACGGTATGTTGATTTTTCATTTTTTGTGGCGGCATTGGTCCTGGAAAAATAATGCGGTGAAAAACATTACACGCGAAAAAGGGTGAAATGGTCTTTGCTGATAGAGAGATTATTTCAGAATGAAAAATTTAGCAACAGACCTTTTCAGTAGCCTGTGACAGACTTCAATTTTCTCCTACTGTGCACAAGAGTGAAATTTGATGTCAGCTCTTTGACTTGCATTGTTTGTGAAAAATGCAATAAGGGTTTCTTTAGGCGTTCTGTTTGTTTGATTAACTGCAAACTAAGTTGTTACACATGCAATCGTTGGCTCTGACAGGTTTGGAATTCCGACTGAAAGTTGTCAAAACTTACTGTTACATGTATCTCTACTAAGCTTAGCCTAGGAACGCTTACGTATGTCCGGCTATCGCTTGTCTCCTGCCGAAGACAAGTGACATTCGGAAATACGTCTGTGTTCGCAGGCTATACTAAGCGGGAAGTGGAACGGTTCTGATGACTGTGAGTAACTACTGCACTGTTTTTTTCTCCCTTGTAGGTCCGATAGTTTCTAAGGGAGTTGATGGCGATCTGTCTGCCTATATTCCCGGTAAGAAAACGAACAAGTTTTGCTACAAATTTTGCGTTGTCTGTTGCCTGTGATTGCTTTGGTTGGCTAATAAGGGGCATCCCTACTACGTCATTTCAGGAGGTGGTGGAGTGTCCGCCCTTTCCATGCACGCCACAGCCGGAAGTGACTTGACTGATGACTTTGACAACCTATCTCACGATCCATTGCAGTCCGCAATGACTTCAGACAGAGGCTTCGCAAGCTCCAATGTAGAAACGTTCTTGCCACCAAGGTGAAATAAAGTTTTGCAATTTACGATTTACCGCAGGGAATATTTAATACTGTTTTTTCGGGCTAAATCGTCTTGACTGGCACCTGTCATCTGCAGTTGTTTTGACTGTATATTCAGAAACTTGAAAACTAGAAGAAAGTCATCGTTTAGGCTTTGTTTGGTCTAGGCGAGTATCAGTATCTTCTTCGTTCGCTAGGAAAATTTATAGGAAATGTCCCGACAAAGTGAGATGGTACATTATCATCTTTCAATAGATAAATTAGTTTAGTACGGTAGAAATATATGTTAAACACGTCTAATAAGCAAGGATGGCTTACATTGGGAATGATTGAGGTGGACAGCAAACCAAGTCTAGTGAGACTAAGTTCCTTTGAGTTTAACTAGCTCGCGAACAAGCTCACTTAGCAGTCCTTGGAGAAAAGGGAGTGTAGAGTAGAGGGAAGGAGAGCTCCCCCCTCCCAACCACCTATTCTGGGAGAGTTTGCTTTTAGACTAGACTAAAACAGGTTTTACCTTGTTGTCCTTCAGAAATCCATCTTACTTCAGCACTCCCAACACACGAACCGACATGTACCCACCGATAGGCAACATGTCAATCACGAGCGCCAGGACAGAGGACCACACTAGCTTTTTACCTTTCTCGGCTGGTAGGCCTGTGGAGTTGAATTCCGCGACACCGTCAAGGCCTGGGGATGCGTTTTCTCCTTATTCAGCTGGTATGTCTGTGACGAAGTCGTCACCGCCTAAGGTGAGTGTTGCGTGACAGATTTAGAAGATTTCAACGGTTGGACGTAGAAATACTGGCGTTTTTGCCGCAAAATGAAACAAGCGATAAAAAACGGCTGTTTTTTACAGCTCGGAAACTTATCTTGACTTATTCAGATAGAATGAAATTTTCACAATGAGACACCAGTGTGAAACAGCTCTCTTTTCTTGCGGTCGTATTCCCGGCTCTGTGTATTGACTGAATCCGCGATTTTGGTCAGAGGAGTTGCTCAGCAGCAGCATGGGAGGTCGCTAATGGCAACTAGCAGATTTTGCAACGTTCGAACTTTACTTCATTAGGGAGGGTAAAACGCTGTGGGTGGTTGCAACTGGACCTATCTTCAACGACCAGTTTTCCAAAATAACAAAAGTTTCCAAGTCAAATTGCTATATTTGGAACCTCTTGTAAGTGACCACCTCTCGTGAGCGACCGCGATAATAAGATAATAAGGTGTTGTAACATTATCACATTCCTGGGTAGTACAAGAGACGGAAATTTCACAATGGGAAGTACCGCATTTTTCTCGAAATTGACTTTTCACAGGAATAAAGCATTTAAAACATGGAGTAAGTCTCTTTAGTTACCATATGCTAATGAGGCTAAATTTTGACCCAGTATGGTCTAAGCTCTCGTAAGCGACCACCTAGGCTTGACATATTGGGTGGCCGCTTACAGGAGGTTCAACTGTACTCCAACTTATTCTCGTTACCTGTTTGGATGTATGTCACATAACATGTTAAAGAGAAGTCAGGATTTGAAAAGTTTTAAATGTTACACATAACCACTAACGTGACTCACCAACATAATACTATAGATAGGACTCATAATACACTGACACAAGTTCCGATAACTTGCGTGACAGGGCTGCCCTGCCCCTTGGAAAGTTAAGTGAACTCGTCTTTTCTTTCTCCTCTTTTTCGTTCTTACCCCAGGCGGAGGGGGACAGTTCACCGACCAGTAAACTTCATCGTCTGCTGGCGGAGTCTCGTCAAATGGTTCAAAACCTCGAACAATCTTCCACCTTCTCTCTGACCGGAAGTCCTAAGCAGGTTAGCTATCGTGTCACGCCATACCACCTCAGAAAAAAACGTTCCTTGCATTATTTTTCTGTCGGTCTTTTGTTAAGACTCGTGCATTCGTGTTATAATAGTCACAGCGTGAATACCGCAACGATAACAGTAACATTTATAGTAACTCGAGACCGTTCTCTTTAATGCTTCAACCAGTAATTACTATCTTCCTTTGTAATCTTCTTTCTAATTATTTAGTCCTTATGCCACAAAACATGTAGCATAAAAGAATGATAACTAGAGAGGACATCCTTAGAGCATGAGTAAGTTAGTCGCCTGAACGATAGACTTTGGGTGCTGCCTGGGGGCAAGTAAATGATGATTTTTGTTTTTCTCGATACATGTCTTCTCCATGACGTATTGATATTTAGGGAGAAATTTCATGTTCGTCATACTCAGGGTGGATTTTATAATTGCCCGTGGATGATTCAAACGACCGGAGTCCCGGGTTGGCTCTGTGGCGATGAGTCAACGAATCTTTAATGTAACCGACCTGTTTCTGTTTCCGTTTTTGTGTAGGACTCTACAGTTCCTACAAGTGACCAGTACACACCGCCACAAAGACATCTGGCAAGTCCTCTACAATCACGTCCCCTTCATACGTCCGCCGAATGAAAAGTACGTGTGAGTTATTTCCATTCTAATTCTGTAGTGCGCCCTGTGTGGTGAACTTTAAATTGCATAATAGACGTTGCTGGCTGAGATTCCTGTTGTCATGATGTGACCAGACCTTGAGTGGAACCTACTACGCAAGGAGTTTGCTAGAAAACATTACACAAACCACAGCGGTCAACCAAAAGCGGCAAAAGCGGCAAAAGCGGCAAAAGTGTTGTCTAACAAATAATCTGGCTATATGTGAGATCATTATTCAATGGTATGCGAAGAGGGCTATGTTACAGTGTCACATTTAGCACGCATCTTGAAAGTCCTATAGTTTGAAAATAAAAATTTATGGTCTTGAAGATCCGTGGAAAGTATAAGTTGGGTCCTTAAAAATCTTAAAATTTGAATGAAAAGGAGAAAGGGGGCCAAAGAGCTTGACGAAAAAATTGTCCACTTAATGAAAGAACAAAACAAGACTTAGTCTTGAACGAGTTTGGCTATCTCTCCTCAGGGAGAATAGGGCCATGAACGAGTTTGGCACCAAAAAGTGCACAAACTCTCCACAATGTAGGTTTAGCTTTTGCACGCATTGCATGCCTATATTGGTATCTGAAAACAAATTCTTCTTTCGGCGGATTCGGACGTGTCCGGTAATACACAAAATTAAAAATGTTCCGTCGATCACCAACAAAACCCGGTATCAAACGTTTTTTCGCTTATTTAAGCATGTGTAACAAAATTTTCATTAATTTTCGTAGGAAGAGTCGTCACGACGTTCAACTGATCATTGCAGAGTCCAGCGTGTGACACAGCACCATTTATCCCATGCTATGTGCCAAGTTTGTGAAAAGACATGTTAACATCGATATTATTGGTTCACTTAACTTACTGCCGTCTTGAATCACGCTTTCGGTCGTTTTGTCGAGTCCTCTCGGACACTTTCGTAACAAATTCGTATGATTATCGGAAACCCGAGTGCTTGGTCAGAAGCCGATACTGCTCGATTCAAGATGGCTGCAAACAGTTATTCCAGTGAATATAAATATTGTTTTTAAACAGATAGCTTAGCTTGAGTAACGCTTGTGTTTTAATCTGTACATAGAAAATGTTGGATAGAGACCAACCCTATTTTGTTTTTGAGTTTACGACGCATCTCGTAAAAATCCATTCCTTTAAATTCACTTCCCAACGCGTAAATTAAAAGGAACTCAGTCACGGTATTTGGAGTTATTTTGTAAACATACAAAATTACATTTAAATTGAAGGAAACCTGAAAATAATAGTTAACTAAGTTTGAGAAACACAAAAGAGATAATATTAAACTATTAAGGAACAAGGCTGGTTAAGGATGCTGAAGATTGACACGGGTTACAAACGAACTTGAAAAATTTAAGCTAGACTTTTTAAAATGCTCAAACAGTGACGTAGCTTCTTTATTTAAGTTCGTCGTTGGTTTGACATTTTATTCTTTATCTTGGCTAAGAACGGCAGAAAATTAAGGTGTTCTTTAAGCTCCTCAAAGTTAAAATGTATGATTTTAGTAAGCGGTCATATATTTTTCTTAAACGAAGGCAAATGCGTTGATTTGAAAGAGTAAGCTGTACTTTCACGCCGGAATACCGCCTGATGTTTTTTCTCTTTATTCTGTGTTGGCTGAAGGTTGTGGTGAACACTCCAGTGTAAAAAATGGGGCCAAACTGTCTCTATAGTTGGTTAGAGGGGACGGGAAGTCTCTCTTACGAAAAACTGGTGACAAGACGCCGTTTTTTTCTCGATTCGTCACTGTAATCTATGCCTCCGTCGTCCAAACCCTTTAAATCCGTATTCGCACGAATTTTAAGCGCATGAAGCCAATTCAATGAAAGAACCATTTCGTCACTTTAAATTCCCCATAAAATGTCTTTCATCTCTGCCAATATTTAATCAAAAACCCATCGTGGATCATTCTAGATTACTTACAATTCCTTCCACTGTAATATTGAAGCATTTTATTTTGTAGTTAGTTTCCATGATCATTTCATCTTTTTATTTTCATATAGGGTTTTTACTAGGTACAAATGATTGTAGGTAGATCTTCATATTTAATAGATAGTATTTAAATGATGTGAATGTAGACTTGTGTATGAACAATTGATTTATTTAATTCAGAATCCTGTGATCTGAACGAGTGAAATTGAATGGGAGAAAATGGATAATAAACTGTGAGAATTCTGAAAGTTGTGTTGAATATTGCTTTGTCCACACTACGCCGGAGAATTTTGAAAACGGCGTTTTCACTCTGAAAACGCGTCAAAAGTTTTCCGTCCACAGTACGTTGGAGAAAATTGAAAACGCAACGATCACCGGTCATTTTGGATTTGTGTTTGAAGAAAACTCGGGCAGGTAAATCACACGATTATCGCGATGTTATCGTTTTCGAAAAACTCCGCTTTAAAAGTGTTTTCCGTCCGGCACCAAAACACAAAGCCGGCGTTTTCAAATTCCTTCGGTTTGAAGAGCGTTTTTGAAGTCCTGTTTCCGTGGCGGATTAGTGTGGACGGTAGGCCTAACCGTAGAAATAAAACGTTTTCAAATTCCCCCGGCGAAGTGTGGTCGGGGCCTTAAAGTTGTCTCGTTAATCGCTAATTTGTTATGAACGGAATAAAATTAAATGGTAAAAGATAAAGAAAATCAAGATTCTTATGGCTGGGTCCTCGGTGTTCAAGCGTGCTCGTAACGTTTTCTTTATTCTCGGAGTTTTCCAAGCAATATAAGTTAACGTGATAATTAAAAGTGAGAGGAAATTGTGACAAAGTTGCAGTCTCCATTTACTTCAATTAAAGAAGGATTTTCTTTAACTTGGTTGTGTTCTAGCACCTGTTTACTCATGTATTTTACGATTCGCGCGATTCGTCATATTTTGAAGACAGAAAAAACCGAGAAAAAGACGGCGGCGGCGAGGACGACTCCTTTTAGAAAATGTATTTATATCAATACTTTCACGTTCTTCAAGAAACTTGGTCATTTCACGTTGTTGATTTGCAAAGGACGGTTACCGGCGAAACGTAGAAAGGTGCATAATGAACGGTCGACTTTGTTACCCTTTGAGAGGACAATAGGACAAACAACAGAATCAATGCCCCTAATACCAAAATTATAACAGCTGCTAACAAACAAAAGAATAACCAGCTTACGAGGGCTGCTACACTTCTTGTTCTGCTCATAAGCGCGTTGTTCAGTGACATTCTCGCTGCCGTTCATTGCCGTCATGTTTTACGTAAGCTCTCTACTTTTTCCGCGTGAAAAGAAAGAGTCCACCTCTACACGGAGCCTATATTTTCATTACCTGTCCACTTGATATTATATTCATACTGTAAGGAGAAAAAAGTGTCGAATTCTGTTGGGAATTTTAGGTTTTAAATTCAACTTACGACTTGGACAATTTTTTCCGTGCTGTTGTTGCACATGTGTTTACTTTACGCGCCAACAGGAACATTGAAGAGGGCGGGAAAATTTGCCTCATCGAAAATAATCTGTTGGAGGAATATGCAAGTATTTGATTTTATGACAGCTGCTTTGAAAATTATGCAGATATCGAGTAAGTAGGTGTAACGTTCGTTTCCAGTTTTCAATTTTCAGCTGGCCAAAAATCATTAGATTTGTTTGATCAATTTATCGATACCACTCATCCTGTTAAATTCTGTGTATTAAAAATACCAATTTTACTCGTCAATGGAACGGTTAAAACTTCCTCTGCAAAAATAGACTTATTCAATGATATGTAAATAACACGCGATCTTTGGCCTAGAAATAATTACTTAGCAACTTTAATGCAAATGGAAAATGTCGTTTTCATTCACCGGTAAACCAAGTTTGTGCTTGGTTATTTTTTACCAGCCGCGTCGTTTTACGAATTTAAAAGAATTATCGCTCGTACATAAATCAACACGAAAATCGCTTTGTGTGTGGTATTTCAAGAGGAACGAAAAAAAACACAAATTTGCATACAGTGATCTCTTGAAGCTTCTTGGACACCGTGTAACTGAAGATCAAAGTCCTTCTAGCCACAAGTTTGGGTTAAAAGCAACTGGACAGCGCGGTTGAATTAACTCTCAAGTGGCGGTTGTGATTGCCTTTTTTGTTGCAAATTGAACGTTTTCCGCTTGGAGTAGGTGTCGACGGAAGACAATTCTGAAAAGATTCGTTAGCAGAAGATTGATATGTCGAGATAAACATGGATCGAGCAGTCGATGTGTTGCGAGATGCTTCAATATGGCTTCGGTCTTTGCCTCAGAGAGATAACAAGAATGTTGAAGGAGATCCCTTCAAGAAAAGCGAGCCACCGAAGAAACCCGAAGCTATTTGGTCCAAAACTAAAGAACCAGAGATACTCCTCGAAACAGAGTCGTTCGAGAAGAAGAAACCCAAAGAAAAACATGACGAGTTCGATTTCGCGAAGACCCGAGAGAAACTTCGAGAAAAGTTTGATTCGGTAATCGCTTTTCCTATTGAACTGAA